ATAAGTTTCACCGGTATTTAAATCATAATAATAACCTTCATCATCATCGTCAGAAAATCCACAGACCCTCCATCATCACCTTCCTCTTCGTTGTTATCGGAGAATTCGTCACAATTTTCATTATCCCTAGTCGCATTAGCACCCTCATGGAGTGAGAAGCTTCATCGTTGTTATTATCGGAGGTTACTCTGCCGAAATTATATTCTTCGCTATCGTAGAAATCCTTGTCATCATCGGGTACATCTACCTCTTCCTCATGTAAAGATTCGTCTTTCTCACTCATTATATCTTCCTTAGTTGGAATCGCTACATTTGATAACGGTTGGTTCTGACTTTCTTCCTCCATCCTAGCCTCTTCTTCCACAAAAGCTTCCATCAGCATTTTATCAAAACCATCATCATCGTCTACCTTAGCTGGAGCGATTTGAGGTATTAATAATGCTTTTTCTGTCGTTTCTAATGTCACTAAATTCTGATCGTTAACATTGTTAACGGTTTTCGAAGTCACGTAATCTATCATATATCGAATTTGAGGATTAGTAAGTCTTGAAATCCTATCGGCACTACAAGTAACTCGATTAACCAAATACTAACCTATACCCTTAATCTTTTTTAGTGTCACAGGATCGTATTCGTATCCAAATAACTTATTAATCTTTCTTGCTTTACAGGTCATCACACGCAAATATCCTGTTCCTTGCAGACTTATCCGTAAGTTTTTTATCCCCAGATCTAAACTCTATAACCTTATCTTCATATCTTTCAGAGTAGCGACCCCAAAATAAAATTTCTCCTCGTTTTGTTTTAATCGAATTTTTTCTTGCGATACTTGCCTGATAAAATAAATGTGCGAGCTTCTGGAGGTTTTCCGATATGGATGTGGGACTGGTTAACTCTATAGATTCTCAACATTGATTATCATGTGAGTTAAAGTCTTGTAATAAACCTTGTACACGAATTCATTCACTAAAGTTAAATCTTCGGTAGAATTTGTAATACTTTTATGTTCCTGCGAGATATTAATGGTTACATTGTTGACAGTTTTCGTATTATGCGATAAGTTTGACTCTATAGTGGAATCTGTAATAACTTTCTAAACTTGCTCATCTATAATATTCGCAATGGTTTTTTCCCCACGTGGTAATCTCAAGTCTTGATCGTTAACGGTTTCTGTATCATGTGACAATTTCGGATCTTGATCGTTAACAGTCTTAACAGTTTCTTTGTTATGTGATAAGTCAGAAGAGACATCCTGGATAACTGATTCGCGTTTAAGCTTCTCCTCATGCTTTCTCTACCTCTGCCTGATCGAATCGCCAACTCTTTTCTTATGTGCCTCATCCAGGGTTTCATCAATCATCTTATCTTCCAATGATATGATCTCTGCGGAAGATGTGGAGATTACCGAATCCTGGTATATATCAGAATTTGAAGTGATATCAGAAATATTAGTTGCAGGAGTATTATCACATTGTGGCATTATCTGTTCGGTATTATTAGAATTTTCCATTTTGTTAGAGGTGCTATTAACCAAAGGTTGATCAGTTACCTTGGCATCATCATCTGATTTAACGATAAAGTTGTTCTTTTCATCGGTTTGCGATTTCTTCTGTTCTAATTTTGCAACTCTAACTTTAAGCTCAGCATTTTCAACAGCAGCATCCTTTATCGTTCTGCTCCAGTTCGCAAATCTGGATTCACGTTCTTCCAAAGCTTGTTTGAATTTTACGTTCTCAGCTTTAAGTTCGATGTTCTCAGCCTCAACTTCGGAAAAATTTTTTCTAAGTTCGGGAATTTCGGCATTCTCCTTTCTAAGATTTAGTAATCTCGACCAAGAGCTTCGAATTTAGTTCTTTCAAAGAATCAATTACGGATTGTGTGTTTGCCATTTTTTAAATAAAATACAGATAAGTTCAAAGGTGAATTTAAAAAATTATCATGTAATAGCACCATACAAAAATTAATTATCGGAAAAAGAGACCATCTGGGCCTGATTGCTTTATTAGCCAAAGGCTTGCTCACGCAAATACAACAAAAAATAAATTACATGAGGGCGGGAAACTATATGCCCATTATTTTTTGATAATTTTTCTTGCACGCGTCGCTTCTTCACCCTTGAATGCTTCATCCACGGTTCGTTTCTTCTTGTTCATGTGGAAGGAACTCTCGAGTTGTTTATATTCTGTAGATATCCTATACACAAAAGGTCTTCCATTCCGGCTATTGCGTAGTCGACTCGGCCGGATACTTCTTCACCCTTTTTAATTCTATATTGATCTCTTTATTTGTCAAACCCCTCGTAATTGCAATTGATGCGTGTAATATTGATGAAATAAATTTACATCGGGTCGCCTCGTTGACCTCTATCATTGATTTTACATTCGTTAACCGCAGTATTATTTCGTTCATGCATTGTTCGAGGGCTTTATCGTTATCATCTATTTTCTCGGGAACTATAACGAAAAAATGTTAGCCTATCTTCGATCACTTTTCCAAGAAATTTCAGCGAACTTGGTTCGACCAAATAATGCCAAGAAAAAAAAAAACAATTTAAGAATCACATACCCGGATTGAATTGTTTAATACACGTAATATCTTTCCCGTTGGCCTTATATTTACAAAGCATGTCTCCCAGTTCTTCCAATATTTTATATGATGAGAAACTTCGTAATTTTGTTTCATTAAGCTCTTCAACAGTCTTGTCGCAGGTCTCACTTTAAACCCACAATCCCTGAAATCTTGTTTGCTAAACTTGAAAAAATCACGACCGGAAATCCTTTCCCTACGTAGGATCTTAAAATCCCGCCTCAATAAGATCTAAGTTTTCATGTCTTTGTAAATAATCGATGAGTTCTTGTATTCCTTCACAACGTCCGCCGTCGTGCGTCTTCCGTCAAAGTAGAGGATGTAGAAACAGGTGAGAAAGGCGAAGACATTTTTTATATCGATATAAGGCGTAAAGAATCTTGTTTATGCGATGCGCTATGACCTCGGCTGAAGTGAGATAATGCAAGGAAGAGAATGAAAAAATTTTTTGGACGGATCGGAACCCGCATAGATTGGAAAGTACACGACGATCTCAGAAATTGCGGAGATTTCGACTTCCTACGACATATGTCTTTCAAAATACGCACTAATGGAGATTGACGATCTGATCCTCCTTACTGCTTTTTCGAGATTCGTTTCGCTGGAGCATGTTTAATATAAAAATATCTTCTAGCTAAATACGTACAGTGAAAAAATTTTACGTATGTTTCACGATGATCCGGATTTAATCCACACGTGATATGATTTACGTTTATTTTTACTGCGTGATTACATAGAAATCATTTCTTAGATCATCGCGATCAGACTTTTTTTACAAGATCGTCAAATTAAGGAGTTTATTTTAGCCAAAGACAAAAAAAAAAAAATACTTGGTTTTTGGAATAGATCTAGCCTGCCTTCGGAAATGGTCCTGGATACTATAAAGTACCTCGTTTTTCTTTCCTGGCTCCAATAACATTTTTTATCACTAATTCCAAGTAATATGCCACTATTAATATACTACTATTTAATTAAGAATATAAAACGTATTCATATTTACTGTTTTTTGTATATGGGAACATAAAAATGAGCAGTTCTAACAATACTACCCCTCCCAAGATTAATGAATCCAATACCTTCAAGAGCAATGATAATAATACCTCTGAGAGCAATTATTCTATTTCTTTGATATCAAAATATGATCTTGTCATATATACGCACAATGGCTAATAGAACTATGTCTAATAAAAAATAGATAGACAGACCTAGGGAAAAATGTCAAAAGATAATTTAGAACGTGATAAAAGAAATAATAATAATAATTGGCAAAATCCTGGTCAACGGGATGAAATGTTAAATCAATCGTAAAATTAATTTACCCTTTCTGCGTGAGCCTATCGCTGATTGAAACATATAACTACATACCTACCGTTCAGCAACCTTTTTAAAAAAACAGAGATTCCGCTATATATGTGGATTTATTCTAAGAGAATGTGCTTCGCTCTACATATGGTATCATCTCTCAAGTCCTATTATAACGTGATGTGATGTTTACGAAGTAGAACACTCTGTATCTAATTTATCCCGAGTAATTCTGAAATATTTAAGCGAAAAAAACAAATATGGAAAATGGTAGGTCGACTTGCTTTTCCTACATTAGGTAAATAAAATTCGTTAGACAAAAAATTATTAATAATATATATTGCTTTTCAACTACTTGGCTAGATAAAATAATTAATGCTTAAATATCCTTCCTAATGACCTTGCCATGTTTGAAATATTCCTTGATCAATGGCTCGAGTAAGAATATTTAATATATCAACTCGATATTCTAAATTAATTGAATTTAATGATACTTCTTATATATAGCCACTTTGTGACTGCTTCCAGCAATTATTGAATATGGAAATAAAACTGTTTATATCTTTAGGATAATATATGGTTTTAATTTTTGGAGTTTTTCCATCACTTCTTTGTTAATCCTTCAAATTAAGATATTTCAAATTAGTACAGTCGTGGACTATTTCCTCGACAGCTTTATTATTAATTGAGCAATCACCAAGCTCAAGATATCTAAGTTTTGGATATAAGTGAGTAGTTTCATTAATATGGAAAAATGGGCTTTAGGTGGTGCGATCATCATTGTGACATCTCAGAGTGAGATGTGATTATTGCGAAAATTAATAATGCCGGCTGAAACTATAATCTTAATTCTACCGAAATTGTTATTTAATGTCAACCAGAATTACAATCTAATTTCAGCCGGAATTACAAATTTAATGTCAACCGGAATTACAAATTTTAATTTTATTAAAATTACAAATCAAAAACATGACTTGTAATAAAAGTTTGGCAAACTCACAAATTTAATTGATATAATTGTCACATAATTAAAAGTTTATTCATTTTTAGGGCCCCTCAAGGAGCAACCATATCATTAATGTGAAACAAATTTGTTTGAAATTTCTTTATTACTTCAAATTTATTTTCATTAAATCTTATTTTCTCAAATGCTTAACAAAATTATATTGCAATAAAAATAGTTCCTAATACCATTGTATAGTTATTTTCAGTCATGATATTTATTTTATTTTTATTTTTATCTATTTATTTATAATTATTTCTTTGATATTCTTATTGATACTTAATTAGTATAAATTATTTTATCAAATATAATATGTGATATAATTTCTATAAATTAAGTAATCCAGGAAGTTAAAATATCCAAAAGATTCAAGTGATTTATTTTTACAAGTATATAACTTATCAAAATCACTCAAAAGTAAGATAAATTTATATGATGATTTCACTTGACTTTTTTAAAATTAAATATCTTATCTTGACTTTAATATTAAAGAAATTGTTTTGGTTTTACTGATTTGTTAATAAACTTGGATTCTAAGTAAATTTTATTTTTGTGAAACACTGTATAATACTATTTAAATTATTCTTGATAAATCTATTCTTTCTTATTTTTTTATTATTATAAATTATTTTTTGAATTTTTTCTTTATAAATTGTTTTTTTAAAAGCAATTTCACTTGGATATATTAGTCAAATATAAATTTAATTATATTTTAACAATAAAAATAGGATCAAGCTCTCCTAAAAGAATATTTGATAAGATCCTACTCTTCTAAAAAAACATTTAAATAAATAAAAAATTAAATAATTAGATTTCAAAACTATCACCAGATTTTGTAATTACTTATCATAAATACTCTTTTAATATTTTATCATTATTATCTTTAATAGACTCTTTGAATACTTCTTATTACAATCAATATAGTACAATCTATTCTTCTCTACTATCTTATAATTTATCAATAGATAATATTTTTCAGGATTCTTAGGATTAAGCAGATCATTCTTATAATTTAAATCTATTCTAAAATAGGTATTTTTATAAGATCAGAATAATGATAAGAAAAGTAATAAACAAAAGAATCCCAGTAACAATAATTAAGACAATAAAAAAGATGAACAACAAATATCACTATGCAAGAATAAACCAGGTCAAAGGCAAAGAAAGGAGTAATAAAATCAACCTATTTATGATTATGAATAAAATAATAATCAAAATTTTATCAATATTTTGTAACAATTCTCTGAATCAATTTCTGGCGATAAATGTATAAAGAAACAATAACTAAAGATAAACAAAACTGATAGATACTGTATATCAATCTTTAAAGAAGAAAAATAGAGTTCTTTCACTTAATTCAATAAATTTAATAAAAAATATTGGACAAATTATATCAATGAACAATAAAAATTTGAGATACTTCTTTTTTATCTTAAAGAGATTGTACATACTTGATAGTTTTCTATAGATAATCAAATTAATTATTAAGACAATGCAAGATATTTAACTAAATCTTTTATATATCAATTCTATGTAATTTTATATATTATTTATTACAAATCAGGATGGACAAATCAATTAAGATAATGAATATAAAAATAAAGAGAAACTATAAATAAATACCTGAATATAATAACTCTTCTTTACAAGTGTATTGATCCTAATAACAATTATTTTCTGAGAATAAAACCAAGCAATTTATCAATAGGTTAAAGGATTAATTAAGGGAACCAGTTGTCCTTTCTTTCAATATAGCTGAAGCCATAAACTATATTTATACTATTAAATCAAACTATATCAGAAATTTTACTATAAGTATCTATTCTTTAAGATACAATTACTTAAATCAATATTCTGATAGGCTAAAGAATATCAAAATAGCAATTATTCAACTCTCTCAAGGATTTCAACAATTGTTTTTCTCAACCAATAGGTAATATAATATCAATAATAATGTCAATAATAGTAAAAAAAAAAATTAAAGAAAAACTTGCATTTGTAACAATTGTAAAAAAATTGATCATTTGTGATATAACTGTAGATCACATCACAATAATAACAATAGTAATAATAAAAACAATAGTAACAATTTTAGAAAATCCTATAACAATAATACACTAGTCGAAATTATGTCATTCGGCAGCTGAATTATTGCTGAATTTGATTAAATTTAATAATAAAAATATTGCTGAATTCTTTTTGATTGCTGCCACTCGGCATATTACATTTCGGTAATAAAGTGGTAATCAAAAATTCAGCAAT